CCCCAAAACCCCAAAACCCCAAAACCCCAAAACCCCAAAACCCCAAAACCCCAAAACCCCTTCGACATCACCAGAAATGAATAATTCCAGAAATATGGTATTTAAATAAAAGACTAGCGAGTCTATGCCTGCACTTGGTGGGTTCTTGAGCTTAATATGGAACCTCTGCAAGCTTAGGCTAGGCTTATTGCTAGAAAATTAATTTGACATTACTCTTATCTTACTCTTCAATTTCAGACTTCGTAGTATTTAAGTCTGGAAGTGTAACAGAGATGCTGCGAGCACTCTCAATAAGTCTTTCAACACTTGAAAGCATTGAAGCATTCTTTTCCATTGTATTTCAGTTTTTCCCGCTGTTGAATCCAGAGATAATAGAGTTCAGTTGCTCCAAATCACATTTCAACAATTCACTCTTCAGGTCAGATATTACAGAAAGGATCATTTTGAAGATAAATATTGGGCCTTCTGAGAATATATTGTCCCAAATTCGAACGCAATATGCTAGAGGAAATGAGTATAAAAACATGGTTATAAACCATTTCTGTAGCCAGATAGGACCTCTGAAGTCTAAACTATCGAAGTATGCCTTGAGGTCGGGGATTTCCTCTTCAAACATTTCATCAAATACTTCCACGTATTGGTAGTAAAGAGGAAATCCTTCTGTGTATAACTGTTCTATTCCTGGATAAAACGTTCCTGATCTTCCTTCTGTTAGAGAAACAAAGAACCAAAAGGCTTCTACTTCTTTACCTCCAGAAATGAGAAGAAGAAATCCCATGATGTAGTTCATGCCTTGGGTATAACCAATCTTTGGGTTGTAGGCTGAATAGGCTTCAAGGCATCTTTTAAGCTTAATTAAACCTTCTTTATTCACATTTTTATCAAAATAAGGGTGCCAAGTGAATGAACGGTTAACATCAAGAATTATTTGGCGCATAGTTTGATCGTTTTCCTCATCAATTTCACCAACTTCATCAAGATATTGAAAATACCGATCTTCCGATAGAAGATCGTTCACCTCAAGGAGTGCCATCCAAACCTCCCATCTATACTTAGTTGGGATTCCTTTGGCTCAGAGCTTTCTAAACTTCTCAGGATTTCGCCTGAAGGACAAATCAGCGCGATTGTAATCCATAATATACTCTCCGAACATGTTTTTCCATGCTTTTAAATTCGCCTTAGTCTTCTTCTTTCCTGCTAGTTCTTTCAGTTCTCTCTTCATAAATGCTTTACCTGCTCCGAAGCCAGCCTAAACCTTTACCTATAAATCCTTACATCGATCGGTTGTATCCTTCTTGATTGCTTGACATCTGAGTGACCACTACACGATGAGCCCATTAGTTAAATTAAAATATTTTCAAAGGAAAACCAAAAGGAAGGGGTTTTGGGGTTTTGGGGTTTTGGGGTTTTGGGG